TAAGGGGGGCCGGGGGCGCGCGCCGGTGGGCGGGCTCCTCTACGCCGCGCGCTCCCCGCTCCTGGCGGGACTTTCGCCCCCGCACCCCTCGGGCCGCCGAGCTGCGGCCCCTCTGCGGCTCCTCCGTACGAGCTGCACGAGTTTGCCGCAGGTCCCCTCCGACCCAGCGGGGTGCAAGCTACGTTCTCCCCGCCCTGTGGTCACCGGCTGGCTCAGGTTTAGGGGCGGCTCAGGGACGGCTCCCTGCCCCGGCCCCCGCCCTCCCGGGGCGGGGCCCTGCAGGAGAGCGCCTGGCCCTGGGGCTTGGCCTGGGGTTCGAGGGTCTCCGGGCCTGGCCTCGCCTGAGAGACTGCCTGGAGGAGGTGACGCCGGCTGGTGGTGCCTGCGGTGAGAACCGCGTAGGCTAGTGCCTGGTGGTGGGAACAGGAGCCCGTGTTTGGGAAAATCCAAGGACTGCGTGTGCCTGGGCAGGGAGAGGAAGGGAAGTTAGGAAGTGAGTATGCATCCGGAGGGGAGCGCCGGAGTCTCTAGGACAAGAAGCTCGGAACCCCGGAGGGCAGAGCAGGGGTGCTGGGGGAGAGGCAGAGGTGGAGACTGAGGGGTCAGCGGTGATGGTTCAGGGCCCCCTCCCACGCACGGTCTGCTGCTCTCCAGCTGTCTACTCACTGGGCTTGCCGGTTGATCCAGGGGGCTCCAGGGCAGCCCAGGGAAAGTCTTCCACAGCTAGCAGAACTTCCTTGCCTGTGCAGACTGGGAAATACCAGAATGGATGCCATGACAGGGTGTGGCTGAAGGGCCAGAGGGGCCAGGCTTTGGAGAGGGCAGGGGAGGCCGCAGCGACCCTGCACCCTGTGGGAGAGGTACCCAGCATGGACTGAGGCCAGGAATTCGGGAAGAGGGCATGTCTAGTTGCTGGTTAGATTGACACAGGGACAGGCAGCTGACTCACCTGTGCATGCCAAGACCGGCCAGTTCTGTGCTTACTCCACCCCTTGGTGAGCATTAAGGCTGCCTGGAGAGGCAGGAGGCTGGGCCCTGCCAGGAACTTGCTGTGTGCCCTCAGGTGAGTCGCCCTGGATCTGATTCCCGTATGCACTCTGCATATAAAGTTTCTGGGCTTTCCAGTTCCTTTCTGGGCCTCAGTTTCCCTGCATATATAGTGTCCCCCAAGAATGTGTGTACACACTGTGAATAATTATGAAGGCAGTGTTTATTAAAATACATTTCATTTTCAAAATTGAGCAATCAGCCATTAAAGTGTATATACATTTTTTGGGGGATGCCCTGTATATTATGTGCAGCCTACCACTAAAGGACCTTAGACCTGGATGGAAAGAGAGGTTAAGAAGGCCATGCCCTTGACCAGAGAGAGTGGGTTGGGGTGAGACTGGCTTAGAGAGGAGAGGACTTCTGCTGGGTCCCTCTCATGTTAAAGTTCAGCCC